CAAGCGATTCAGGTCGTTATGATGTACTGGCCAGCGGTATGATAGCTATGGTCTTGCTCAGTACAAGGTGTAGGCGGCTGAGCAAGCTCTTCGTCTGTAATGTCTCCATCAAAATGCCATTTTTCCTTAGCAGCTGTCCAGTGGGATGCGAGTCTATGGGCTTCGAGATCAGGTCATTAGCAGCGGGGGCCAAGAGCAGAGGCAACATATGCTCCTTCCCTTGGCCTCCTGGTCACGCGGTGTCGCGGTGCATCCGAGTCGCAAACTCACGATATCCACCTGTTATCAGAGCCTTGGCAAATCTGGGCTTAGATCTGCTTGTACTCAGTCAGCGTGTGTGATGCAGCATAGAACATGGAGTCCCCAAAAGTGTTGCAAAGCATACACTGAGAGACAGCCTGTTTCTGCATGGCCAACGCACGGCCAACTTCAACACCTTCAACCTTTGACCACTCCTGCCTGCCATGGCTACCTCCCACCGCTCATCGTACGCTGTCCTGCCCCTAAAGTGATTAGGTGTGAGACGCGTAGAATGCATGCGGGAAACAGGAATGTAGTCTATAGATAGCTACTCATAATTACTATAGAGCACAACTTGCGTGACTACAATAATAGTAGCCGATCCTTAGTTATGCTAGTTTCTTTCCCAGTCCTCAGAAATGACTCATATTAGTATTTAAATATTTTTGGTAGTATAATAGTTTTGTTTATGTACACATTTGACTGCTTACTACACTATCATGATTACATAGCATGGATCAGACGGTCAGAGTAGTCTAGATACACCTCAGAAAAGGGGGAATATGTGGGCACTCAGACATGTTGCTGTGGTATCACAGGGCTGTGTTGCAAGGCTGTGCTGATTAGTAAGCTTACTGCGAATATTAGTAAGCATGCTGCGGCGCAGCAGGCACTTAGTAAGCCTGTGATCTGATTGGATGGAGTGGTATTGGCCAAATTAGCATCAAAGGAGGGCATATGAGCCCTTCGAAGCAATCAATTCACTTTCACCCAGAATCAAAGATCGATCACAGGAGACTGTAGATCAGTCTCTATTAGTATTAAGCAGCAAGAGCAAGATTAAGAAGACATTTGAGTGTTGACTTAGGCAATAAATCTAAGTATCACTCCAGGACATACGATATAGGAAATAGGATACATTAAAGCGACAAGACACTTTTGAGTGTTGACTTAGGCAATAGATCTAAGTATCACTCCAGGACATACGACATAGGAATTAGGATACGCTGAAGCGACAAGACGCTTCCAGAAGATAGGAAACAGGATATGTTGAAGCGACAAGACACTTCCAGAAGACCGACGACATACTCAGCGACTTCCCCATAAGCGTGGGAACAGATTTCCCATACAGACAAAAGGACAGAGCGCAGTTCTCTGTTTAAGTGAATACATTCAAGCGGCCCATTTCTTTCTCCTGATTCAACTAGGTTATCCCTGACTTAGATAGACCGGGACCCTAGGCAACTGTGTGACTATATACTAGCACTACAGTTCGCGCGACAATGCTATGCCCCTGCTTCGCAAAGATCATCAAATACTTGTCAATTTTAACACCACTAGCCTTATTGAGGATGATCTATCTGCCTGCAATGGATGGTTAACTGAGGACCCAGGCTACGACAACGACAAAGGGTATGAGCCCTTTTTGGGAATGAGACGGGCTCTGAAGACTTGGAGGATGACTGGGAGGATAGGCAGGATTCTCCATCCCACGTACGTGCATCGGCAGAGCTTGCTATGCCAGAACTCATGTACCTGAAACTTAGCCATGCCAATGCCAGCAGCTGCCCCTCTCGACGTCGTTGCAATCAGCAACGACTTGAAAAGCATCAGACCGACAGAGTACACCGTTCATCATCGCTAACCGCCGATCACTCTGCGGAGGATTGTGCTGTGAATGTCGCAAGAGGATCCTACACCTCATAGCCGGCCCTTCATGCCCATGATGGCCCACTGACTCACATTGGCATGGGCAACGGGTAGGTCACATATCCTTAGCTTAGTCATCACGCAGCTAGGGCTAACAATTTTTGCAGAGGCACGTTTTCCATCTTCAACCACAAAGGAAGGCATGTTGTGCACTGAGGTGCAATTCTACCGTCAACTTCGACCATCAACACTTGTCTTCAAGAGGCGAAGGCGCTTCTCTACAGAAAGTGCGCATTCATTCGCCCCCGGGGGCAAAAAGGCAGCAGGGGAGATTTTGATCAGTTTTATTTCTCGCTGCACTGCAGCTCCGCTACAGTTTGTCTGCGCCGGTGCAAGGGATGGGCAACTTACTGACTGTGTTCGCTTGCATAGATGCCCACACTATCCAGAACTTATTGGAAGAACAGGAAGCTTGCTCGGACATTGATGAAGATCCTAGCACCTGTCCGGCGTATTATCGATGGTCGGTTGCTGCCCAAGATCTCAGAGATGCAGCAAAGGGCTGACTCCTCACCCAACAGCAATGTTCCGTAAGCATTACCCTCACCTATATGAAAGGTACAGAAGCACCATGAAGTTCATCTATGAGTCGTCAAAGTGCAAGAAGGGTACCTGGCCCCTTTTCTTTCCATTCACATCCTTCACGATCAACATGGACTTCATGGAGTGCCACAGCCACAGGAATGGGCAGAACATGCTCACCGGCCTCTGCGTGGTCATTCCCTTTGGCAACTTCGATCACACCTTTGACGGGCTGCTCAGAATTGAGGAGCTCGGGATGGAGTTTGAGGTGGTGGCAGGGGTGCCGATCTTCTTTCCATCGGCCCTCTACACCCACTCAAATCCCCCACTTATGTACCTGAAATCCCGGGGCTCCTTGGTCCTATGGAGTGGAGGGAGCCTCTTTCAGTGGGTTGATTGCAGTGGAATGACAGTCAATGAAATGTCTGTCCAACAGCAGGCAGAGTATCAGAGCTCTGCCTGAGATTGAATTTTGGCCGAGCTCGATCGTCTCAAACCATGATGACCATCAGCCATCCCCATGATTTGGTGAGCACAGTGTCCCAAAACCATGCCAATAGCCTGGCCTAATGCTCATCTTGGTCTCGTCCTGTACGTAGCCTCAATGTAAACATTTGGAACGTAATACAATATGCGTATGGAAGAAAATTTAAGATGCCCGTGTTAATCCTCATCGCTCTCAAGATAGGTCAAGTCAATAACCTCAGGCTGGAGTTTAAGGCAGCAGCTGTACTTGCCCGAGTCCTCTGATGACAGGTCAATGAAGTCCATCGGCAAGCTCGATGCCTTCCTCCTCCTTGTTGAACTGCGGCTTGAAGAAGGCCCGGAAGAGCCTCCGACCATGGAGCCATCAGACGTCAGGTCGATAAAGTCCATGCCTATAGCAATACTAGGTGCAGGCAAAGGCTCAGGACTATGAACCTTGCCATCGAACAGCTCGGCCATCGTGATGCTTTGAGCTGGTAATTCCATACGTGGATGGACATGTCTTGCACCACTGGCATCACCTGCAGACTTTTGCTTTCGGCACAAGCTGAGGACAGAAGGAGTGGTAGTAGCCGCCAGCGTAGGCAAAGCCAGAAGTGTAGGGGTTGATGTCGGCTCGGGAGATGAGAAGTTTTGGAGCAGTACTCCAGGGAAGTGACAACACATATTGGGATGTGCTAGGCTTGCTAATTCTCGAGCTGCTTGAACGAGGTGCAGCTCATCCCCGACACGGGGCTTCTCCGACAACGGCCAAAGAAAAGAACAACAAAGCCCAGTGTCCATCCAAACTGCACACTGGTATTGTTCAAGGTTAGGCTAGGCTGTGTGCAAGTGGCGCATCTGCTGACCTTGACCCAATAGCATCCCACAGAACTGAATGTCTTGTACCCAAATGAGAGTATTAGTCGGCCAAGCCTATGTATGGTGGCATTTGGGCCAGCAGGTTGAGCAATGGTTGGTGGGGAACCGGCAATATTGAGGCAAAGGGCCTCGTATCAAACCTGAGACTCCTTCCATGCCCTCATCTGATTCCGCTTGGCAGGGCTTGGAGACATGAGAGGTGAGCAGCTTGGTGGTAGTTGACCGGTTTTCTCTGGCTCATCCATGGCCTTTTATACATGGGCTGCCAATTTCAAGCTCTTTGCAGCGTACGTTCATTTCATGGCGATAAGCCCTACCTGCCAGAAGACAAAGCCACCACAGTCGTTCATCAAGAAGGATTGACACATTGTTGGCATATCAATCCTGGGCTTTGTTTGGCACAATCTCATAGATTTCTGCAGGTGCCTTGTCGGAGGCCATAGGAGCATTTATGCATTGTTGGCATGTTGATCCTGGGCTTTGTTTGGCACAATCTCACAGATTTCTGCAGGTGCCTTGTTGGAGACCATGGGAGCATTTCACTTGTCAAGCCGCTTTGCCTTGCTCTGCTCTTTGATGCCCTGCTGGCGCTTTGTGTGGCTGATGACCCATTATGTCTAATCCCTTAACAGTGTCAACCTATGGCCTGATTGTCGATACCCAACTTTCCTCCACGCTCCCACCCTCTTGTTGCACTACACTCGGACATCCACCAGCTCTCCAAGAAGAATGTCATCTACTCCTCGAACAACTGCCTCGTCTCAGCCAATCGTATGTGTTTCCGAGGCTGCCAGCCATGGTTGGAAGGGCATCATGAATGCCGACATGGAGCAATTCTGCGAGGAGCTTCGCGAGCAGTTCCTGTCAAAATGCGGGATCAGGAACACTCAGGCCCACGACGGAGTGCTGTCTGTCAGCGATAAAGATCTGCATAGATGGAAGGTTGCGCGCTGGGCTGAATTTGAGGACAAGTTCAAGACGATCATCAGTAACGCTGTGGATGCTGATGGAAAGGCGATACCTACTGGTCGGTTCAAAAAGGTGTGTGCCATTGGCTGGAGCTGGAGCATGTAGAACACTCTCTCATCGCTGCTTTCCTAGTCGTTCATGCAGAAGTGGTCCAACTATGCAGCCAAAGCAAGGTTGAAGCACAACACTGTGATGAGAAGAGAAGGACAATTTATTTTTGCATTTTTCATTTCCAAATATGGACTTATCATTTTCCTTTTCCCACCTTTCCTTTTCCAAAGTCACGTGACCTTCAGTGTCAGCAGCACAGCATCACTGACACTGCCTTGTACTGCCTTGCACTGCCCTGCACAGCCACCAGAGGTTTATTCTGCTTACTCATGAACAATGGCTCGTTATTCCTTCTAACTCCTTGATTCATAATCCTGACCCACCTAAGTGGGTCAGTCTTACTCATCCTTGTGCCCTGCATGTGATTCTCTTGTACTATTCTTAGACGATGGATTGGTGTATATAAGACCCCTGTAGCTCGTCCTAAGTCCCCATCTCGACCTCTTGTGTCTTGGGGACTTAGGTGAGTAACCGTCTCTGTAGTAGATACTATGCTAACTTGTGTCTTGGGGACTTAGTGTGTGACCTCGAGTCCATTAGGTGCCTATTGCGTTGCTGTCGACCTCGTGCCCAGTAACCTTGAGTTGAGCTCAGCTCCTCTTTATCTGTGTATACTCTTGCCTATAGTAAGTGCCGACGACGCTGCCTTTCCCTCCAACTCTACCCAGTTGCTTGGACATTCCGGCTGTCTAAGTGATTGGTAACCCCAACGGGTGTTCCCCTGCACGTCGCTCGTCACAAACACGTCCTCCAACCAAGCTCCGTCTAATCCATTGAACCTATTCCACCTCAACATCAACGACGATCTGACTGACCGTGACCTCTTTCGTATGGAGAATCACACCGACATCAACACTGCTGCAACAGACGAATGATTGGCCTTGGGACTTACGAGCAAGCATCATGCAGGCCTCTTTAACAAGCACCATGCCTGGTGTTGGAGATCGCTCAGCGAAGAGGAGCAGCTTGCATGGCACAGTAAGGCCAAAGCTGTCAACAACAGCCATCAACCTGATGGCCCGATGACCCACTGCTACGCATGAGTCATTTGTCTACGTATTCGCATTGCTATTCTCAAGCGTCACTTAGAAATCAGAAGGCATTTCTATCGGTCATGAACAGCGTCCTTCAACGAATGATTGGTCAAGGTTGGCAGAAGGTCAGAGATGCTGTCTTTCACTGCCTCTATGCCTTCCAAGATGAGCATGATAAGCTTGAGCATGGCTTGTTAGTGCTATGCCTTTTTACATGTGACCAAGGCTGATGCCGTGCTTAGTATTCTTGCATACCCAACCGGCCTCCCATAAAAACCACCGCACGTCACCACCTGGATCCCAAACTACAGATCCAACATCAAAGCAAACTGGGTCAATTATGCAACCATGATTCTCCCTGGTTTGTTCCGACGATTTCTTCCCTCTTCTGAAACTAACAATGTTTCCCAGGAAATCATCACCCTCTTGAGTCATCAGTGGCAGTACAACCCGAGAAATCTCAAGAGAACAATGAGACAGAAGTCCCATCAGCTACGACCGGTAAGCCTTGTGCCGTTGAAAATATGCCTGCTTATGGGTCAGCAGCTTCCAACAGTCAATCAGAATCAGTGATCGCTGCTAAATCGAATCAGGGGGATTCGGTCGAAGCCCCGTCAGCTCAGCCTCTTGAAGAGGTAAGCTTCTTAGGCGATGAGCAGACCCAGCCTGAGGGTCCCGACAAACCATTCATCAACATCCAGGAGGCTCATTCTCCATCCGATGTGCTTTCACCTCTGAGCACCGAGGAACCAGGGGGAACTGGAACAATCGAGCTACCGTCAAGGACGTTCACAGATCCAAGCTCAAATAGTCGAAAGCAGCCTGATGTTCCCAAAGGCCCAGCTTCCAAGCCCTCAAAGAAGGCACAAAGGTTCATCGAGGATAGTATGATTTCTTCTTCTCTACTTACCCTGCTATACCGCTACACAAGGTCGAACCAAGTGCTGCAGAGTAACACAGAAGCTGCTCCTCAGTGCAGTGGTCAGTCAGCTGTTAAATCAGACCTTCTCTCCCTGAAGTCTGTTGTGATTACCTCGTCAAAGCGCGTTCCAGCAAGTGAGCGATGGGTGATGGTGTGAAGCATGAATTCTCGGAGGACAACCCATCCTCACAGATTACTAACAATATCCCAACGGAATTTGAATCCTCATCTCTTTAATGTAGCCTTGAGTAGGATTGTTGCAGAGTGTGGGCTTGGTGAGAGGCAGGCAGAGGTGGGTTGGTCAACAGCATTGACAGCAACGTGTGCGCGCAACAATGCGTGATGTCGTGCAAGCACGTTTAATCTCTTTCAGACTTGTGCCCACGACTCACCACCATTCACCTCTCTGCTGCTGCTGCCGGCGCCTCGAAGCGGAGCATCTGGCCCATACAGAACACGTGCAATGTAGGTTGAAATAGGGCACGCCGCCGGCACTAGCAACTGCGCCGACGCATCACCAAGGATCACATCACATCCAACACGACCGCCCATGAGCCGTTGGCACCTATGCATCGACTATGCCTACCGACAGGCGGATGAACTCTTGGGCGGGTTGCGGTCCTGCAGCCTTGCGCGGAGAGCGCGCTGAGAGATCCACCGTATGGTGTGGGTGAAGCGTATTAGCTTGGGCGCAAGCTGGGTGCGAGCGCGACGGCTCACCCAGACCGCACACCAGCCGTGGTGCGCGTGCCCGGCTGACCCCCACCCTGCGGTCGTGGTCGTCGAGATGAGTGGCGGGAATGGCCCGAGGGGAGATGCTGCATGTGTGTTGGAAGGATGCCTTCGACCACCCTTCAATAGCGCAGGAAGGCGTCGGAGGACCATCGACCGGACTTCTTTATGACGTCGGGTGAGACGCCGGCCAACAGCAGCTCTGTGGTTCCCCCTATGCGGAACGAGTGCCCCGTGAACCTTGGTAGGCCGGCCCGGCTCCAGACTGTGTTGCACTTCTTCATGAAGAAGCGCCGGGTGAGAGGGCGGATGCCAAACGATGTCCGGTAGGCGAAGAGGTGGTTCCGGGGTCCGGGATTGTTCCAGTACAGGTGATGACGCAGTGCCCAAATGGGGTCCGACGAGCCGCGCTGGTGGAGGATAACGACGTCTTCGCCTTGACTGAAGCGGACCTTCGTCGATGGGAGATGGATAATGTGAGAGGGGAATGCGGGTGATGGGAAGGTGACGTCCGCGCGAGTCGGGTTCCTCCTTGCGGCCGCCGGCGTTGTTGAAGATGGGAGGAGTTCGCCTAGGCGACATTGGCCCCAGAACGCCACACAAGCGGCCGCGAAGACGGCCATGTCGACGCTGTCCGTCAGGTCGAGGCCGGCCCT